AATTTGACACTTTATAATTGAGAAAGTAATTTATTTAACAAAGTAATAGTCTAATGTCAAAGTTATTAATGTAATTCAGCAAGGACTCAGTCTTTCAAGGAGCATTTCAAACTCTGGATAATATTCAGACTTTGCAGAGTTAGGTCTGTGAGGATCAGTTTTATCAGGAAAAAAACCAGCCAAACTTCTCTTGCATAATGCAGCAAAATTTTTATAATGTTTTGAGTACTCATTATGCTGGTATAATAGGGACATATTCTGAGTAGGTGTCACTAAAGGAATAGTTTTTATTGTCATTGTATTGCATTTCGTGACTGAGAATAAAGCTAACCTTTTTTAAATTAAGGTTTATACATGGAAAGAAATGTGCTGTTTTGTCATTTAGATTAACAATATTTATATTTTTGTATTAAATATATTGCATCTGCAGTTCTTATGTTTATACCATTGTGCCTTGGAAAGCAAGCAACATTTGTTTGCATATTACTTTGAAATGAAATTCTGCAACATTAGGTTAAAGCGTGATGTATTTTTTAAAAAGACCTTTGAAGTGTGTAAGTTTTAGTGTCGTCTTATATTCTCAGCTATGTAATAAAGTAAGTGAGCTCCTAGATTCTTGTCTACATCATTGTGGGGTAGTGTGCTGTTTATTGCACACGCAAATCCTGGAAAACCAGGATCCTGTTTGTTTGGTTTGTTTTGTTTTTTAATTATCTGTATTACAGACAAAAAGTACTTTTTGGTTTCTGACTCCCAAGTGCCTTGGCTTTGTATCAAGTCTAAAAACAGACTTGGTGGGGTTTGGTATAATAGTCCTTATGCTGTAGGAAGTCCTCATGTTTGTTTATCCTTCTGAGTTAACTTTACCTTTTTAGACTTGTGACAGAATTGTTAACCAAACCATGATCTGTTTACAGCAATATCTACTTGCATTCTCAAAGAAACGTTTGAGAGAGATTAGACACATGAGACAAGTCTTATTCCTAGCTTAAAAGCAAAGTCATGCAAACTCTTGGCCACTTCTCCACAAAATACTGGGTTGCTTTGAAAATTCTACCAAAAAAGGGACAATAATACTAACGATACAGAATAACTGAGTAGTTTCGTATGGATCCAAAAGCTATTTTGCATTCCTGTAGAATAGGGTATTCATTTTAGATCATATGTACTGCCTTTGAAGTTGTCTTTTCATTAAAAGCCAAAATATAACCATTCCTGTATTAAGCAGTATTTTAGTTGACTAATAAGTATTAACTGTGTAACTCATTATAACTGGAGGGTCAGCTGATTCTTAGCAGGTACAATGTGAGTGAAATAAAAATCCCTAGAAGACATTAAATTGAATGACGAGGTTGTGGACTCTCCAGCCTTGGAGATATTCAAAACCTGACTTCACACAGTCCTGGGAAACCTGTTCTGCCTGACACTGCTTGGGCAGGGATTTGGACTACATCTTCTCCAGTGGCCTCTTCCAGCTTCAACTATTCTGTGAAATTGTTTCCTTAGTCTAATCAATGATTAAAAAGCTGCTTAAATTAGACTGGAAATAGACTACATAGCTATCCTAGCAGAGCCCTTGGAGTTTTCATTCAACACTCTGTTCTCAAAAAATAGCGTTTCAAAGCACTGCAGAGCAGCAGGTTCTTCCAATGCAACCTGAAGTTTTGCTTCAGCAACAAGAGTGCAGCTCTTAGTGTAAAGTTCCCTTGAAAGTCCACCAAATAAATCCTACTCGCACAAATAGTAAGAGCTAGTATGCAAATACTGAGAGCTGAAGTATTCATCAAGCTTGATATCTTCAGTAGGCTGGGAAATTTTTTTTTCTGCATATGTTGAGCATTTTGTTATTTTTCAGAACTGTCTGTTGTGGGATGCCTCCCAAAGAAAAATCTCTGCATCAGCCAACAAACCAACTTTTTTCTTCAGAGCCAGGAGACCTTTGTGCATGGTCCTTCTAGAGATGTGTTAAACAGCAGCCTGACCCTAGCTTATGCATGTGTGACAAACTAAATATCCTCCACCACATCCTTCTGTTAAAAAGTGTTCTGGACGTAGGACTTCAACAATATGCTGACCCTCCTTATAGTTTACCATACTTCAACTTATATAACTCAAATTTCTCAAATCACTTTATGAAGAAGTACTATTATCGAGTCTCCTGTGGATGGTGTACAAGCCTCGGTTTTATAGTTATTTTCTTCAAGAACCAACTTTCTCCGCTTCAACCTTTTACTGCATCAATAGGAACACAATTGAAATGTTTGATTTTTTTTTTTTTCTGTTTTGCTAGATCAGCCATTATAGGTACTAGATTTTATTTGCGTTCATTGCATAATGTTACTAGGATCATATTCCTTACGTAACTTTTAAGCAAGGACAATTTTTTTGGCCAAAATAGTTATCTCGAACTTTCAGACTCTTTAGATAAGCAGGCTTTAGCCCTGCCCTTCCTGTGACGAACAGATGTGCTTCTGTCTCCGTCCTTGTAAGCTAGAAGACCTGTTGTGGAGGATCCTGGGACTTAGATTCTCAGCAAAACAAAGTTTTTGGTAAGTGCATGCATTTGTCTAACTGAATATAGAATCTTCTAAATATTTGTTGACTACCTTAAATAGAATCAATTAATTAGACATTGAGAGGGCACTGTCAAATGAGGCACTTAAACTTTGAAAGTCTACAACAGAGAGTGTTTTTAGGAGAGACCGGAGGTTAGGTATGTTCCCAGATCCATCCACTTCCCATCCATGTGGGTTCTTAAGGGCAATCTGCAGATTTCCTCAGAAATGCTTTAGGCAGATTGTAGACAGTCTGTCTGCAGGTGTCTGGCAGTACACTGTGTCATCTGAGCGCATGGTAAAGATGCGCTAACGCACCGTGTCTGCTTGCGTCGGCAGTGTGCTCCCCCGAGAATAACCTCCAGTTATAACCGGAAAGTTATTAGAAATGATAATAACCCGTCAGAACTCTAATCTAATCTATACACAGAACACTATAGCTATTACAGTGTAACAACTTAAATACAGTAAATAAAATAAATTATAGTGTAATAACATAAATAACCATGGTTATTTATGGTTATACTATACTATAATAGTATAGTTTTGCTATGGCATAGCATTTAGTATAGTTTTACTATGCTATACTACGTACTATGCTATACTATACTATACAGTAATAGTTATTTCCAGTTATAACTGGAAGGTTATTACACTGTAATAGCTATAGTTCTCTCTATATAGATTAGATTAGAGTTCTGATGGGTTACTGTATAGGCTTTATCTGACTTGGGTGAAGTCCCTTGTCTGCAATACACAAATGTACTAGAGCATTGCCCCAGATATGAAGTAACATCTTGGCCTGTGGAAATCCACGGCTGATTTGAGAGGAGCCAAGTTTCTGTTTCGTTTGCAGAATCTGTGTCAGGATCGCTGCCTGGGAAGGTGAGCAACTGTTGGCTAGAAGAGTGTTGGATACATAATGGGCTGCTCTGTGCTTCAGCCCTTCAAGTGAAGCTCTAACCATGTTTTAAGAAGAGAGAATGAAAAATAAAACAAAAAAAACTTTATTATTAGGCAGCTGAAGCATCAACAAAAATTACAGTTAACAGGCTTGTGTCCATTTACTGAGATCAATCCCCCAGGGAAGCTCACGAACAGCAGTAACCGCGATGAAGCAGCAGATGAGAGCTGTGAGAACGGCTGCTCTGTCGGCCTGCCTCGTGTGTAATCGGCTTTGCTTGTTAACGTCTGAAATCCCCTGTAAGTCAGGACGATGGCAGGATCTGGTGGCAAAATTGAATTGAAGTGCTTTGCAGCCCCCTCTTAACTGACAATCTAATTGCGCTGTGTGGAGCGCCCGTTGCCTTTGGCTGACAGCAATGGTGTGGAGAAAGGGACCTCATGAGTTTAACCATAAAGTGTGATGCAAATGGCAAAAAACTTTTTCTTTAATGAGCAAGAAATCAGCCTTCATACAATTGTAGATACTTTAGGTGGTTTTCATACTAATGCGTATATACGATCACCTCCTCAGCCTTGGACATAAAGGCCACCACGCTTCCTCACGCTAAGGAACGAATCCACAGCACTGCCTTCGCCCAGCACATCCCTGCCGCACCTTGGCACCGCACCCCGGCCCCAGCCTCCCGCCCCGGGCTGCTGAGCTCCCCGCGACTCGCTTCAGCGCTTCCCCGACCCCAGCGCCTCCAGGCTTCGAAGTGTTGCCCTGCTCCCCTCACTGCCCCATCACGCAGCGCTGCCCTGCGCTCGGCGATCCCCCCATGGTACCCCAGCCCGCACGGCGCTTCCCTGTACCCCCGTATCGGTGATGTACGTACCCGCGGAGTGCCGGCCCTCCATAACCCTGGGAAGCGCAACATTTCACCCTTTCCAACCTGCACGGCAGCATGCCGTGCCCGGTACCCAGTATCACCAGTCAGAAAGGCCTTGCTGCACTGGTTTCTGTCGCATTCAGTCCATACCTTCAGTGGCTGTGGGGACCTGTACCTTTGCGGTTGATAGCAAGGGCCAGGATGCGGAGCAGAACAGGTTTGCTAGGTGTGAGTGCAGGAGTGCACTGGGAACGAGAGTGGGAATCACGGTGGGAAGGGAAGGAAGCAAAAATGTGGGGATCACGGTGGGAAGGGACGGAAAGAAGAGGTAGGACTAGAGAAACGTGGACCTTGGATTGATTTGGGCTTGTATTGCAGTTTCCCTGTACCTGGTGTCAGTTAACAAAGCTTTTTTTCCTAAATTCTTAATTACCCTCTAAGTGTTAAAATGGAAACATTTTTAATAGGATCAATTTTTATTCTTATTGACCACTTTTCTACAGACTTCAGCTTAGCCAATAAAATTAAGTGAGCCCGCTTTATGTTCAGAGCTCATTGTTGGATGCTGAAAAACTTAAAGAATTTTTGTTTGCCTCAGAGCAGTTTCTT